GGGATTTTTTAAGGAGATTTTTTATGGATTTTTAGGGGTTTTTTGGGATTTTTTAGGGGTTTTTTTGAGGTCAGATGCAGGGGGTGCGGCCACAGCTCGGCTCCTGTGAGAGGAGGAAACCCCCAGACCCATTTTAGGGGGATTTTGGGATTTTTTAAGGAGATTTTTTATGGATTTTTAGGGGTTTTCTGGGATTTTTTAGGGGTTTTTTTGAGGTCAGATGCAGGGGGCGCGGCCACAGCTCGGCTCCTGCAAAGGGAGGGAACCCCCAGACCCATTTTAGGGGAATTTTGGGATTTTTAGGGGTTTTTTGAGTTTTTTATTTAGGGGATTTTTAGGGGATGGTTTGGGGGGTTTTATCATTTTTTCGCCTTTTTTTGGGTTTTTTTTTGAGGCCAAATGCAGCGGGGTGCGGCCACAGCTCGGCTCCTGGGGAGGGGAGGGGGGCACGAAACCCCCAGACCCATTTTGGGTGTTTTTGGGGTGTTTTTTTGGGGTGTTTCACCCACCGGCCGGTCGGGGTCGGCGCCGGCGCGGAGCAGGAGCTGCACCAGTTCGGGGTCCCGGCGCAGAACGGCCACGTGGAGGGGGGTGTACCCTGGTGGGGGAGGGGAACGGGGGCCGGGAGGGTCCCCAAAATTCTGCCTGACTATGAGGACCCTCCGCCCCAAACCGTGTTTCCCCCACAAAACGTATCGCTTCCAAACCTATGTGACACCCCGGGATTGTGTGTCCACCTCTTAACTGTGTCCCCACCCCAAAATCACATCCCCCCCTCGAAAAACTGTGACCCACTCAAAACCACGATACCCCCAAAACTGTCCCCCCAATGGATGCTACCCCCCAAAACAACCGTGATACCCCAAACCATTTCCCCCCACCAAACCGTGTTGCCCCTGTGCCCCACCGTCGTAGTTGACGCTCTCCAGCTGCGCCTGCCGCTCCTCCTCCTCCTTCCGGGAATCCTGGCGGGCGTCCCGGGGCTCGCGAGGCTCTCCCAGCAGGGCATGGGCGCAGGCAGGGTGGCCCTCGCGACAGGCGAGATGCAGGGGGGTATGACCACCCCGTTCCCGCACGGCCACGCCCGCACCCGCTGCCCGCAGACGCCGCACGGCCCCAGCCAGCCCCAGCACCACGGCGACGTGCAGCGCGGTCTGGAAGGGGTGAGATCGGGGTTAAATCCCTCCGAAATCACCATAAAATACCACCATAAGATCTCAGCCCGAGCGCGATGTCTAGGGTGCTCTGAGGAGTGC